TTCCATGGAAAACTTGAGCAAAAAGTGGCATTATGATGCAATTATATCCATATTATGCACACAATATTCAAATTAATATTTTTTTTGCCAGCTCTGCAATGAACCAATACTGTATAAATTCTACATTATGCAAACAAAACAAACATCATAACTATTATTATATTATTATTCGTCGTTCCTGCATGCCCTCACTGGCTTCTCCTGTTTTACTCTGTGATGTGGGAGGAGGCAGCACATAGATGTCGGACCCCGGGTTTCCTGTATCGCCAAGAGGCTACAGAGGCAGGTAGTGCTCTGAGACTGAAAACCCAGACTTTGGCCCCAGTGAAGAGCGCCACTTCAGAGAGTTCCTGCCCTGGAGGAACCCACAAGTGCTCCAGCACACCCGCCTGCGAGAGAAAGAAAGAGCGGAGCCCAGCCGCGATCTGAGCGCCTGTCTGGGACGCTCTGGGGGGATCTCACAGTCCAACTACAAAAACCAGCGAGCAGATGTCAGCGGGCGACGGAGCGCAAAGTGGAGCCTGCAAAATCATCTTAGTGAATAATGCCAACTGCTTTTAGGAACTAAACGATCTGACTCTTTCCCCCAGTTGTTTTCTCAGCATGTGCTTTGGGAGCTGTTCTATTCAATATCAAAACACTGTTGGTAACAAACCGCATTGACGATAATTTAATTCCTGCATTTCTTTACCAAGTTAAATGTCAACTTCCTCAACTTTCTTTTAGATGTACACAATTTTGACAGCTTAAACATTGCACAATAATATATTAGGTAAAAAAAAGGCTATATGGATAGACAGAGCAGACTGTGGATGGTTCAATGACGTAGTTTCACTCACGCTTATGTCCACTTTTGAGTGATAGTTTGTCACTCATACAGTATATGCCGTATTTACGAATGAAATATCAATAATGGGCTAAAACTATGTTATAAGATCTCGTTGACCATTACTGCCCTCAGTCATCCTCACTAATCTGCGGTCCTTGAGTAAAAAAGGACCAACACCAAACAAGCTTACAGCAGGTACGCATTCCGCGAAGCTTCTCTGCTTTTCTTCACGGAAGGCTGGTTACAAAAGACGACCAGTTTGCAGACAGCCGTTTTTTTTCTTTTAAAAGCCAGTAGAATGATGGTGAGTCATCTGGGCATCAGAAAAAGATAAGCGGCGAACAAAGTAAGGTTTAATTGGCTGTGTTGCAGTAGTGGTGGTCAGAAAAAAAAAACTCAAAGAAAAAGTACTTAAAAATGTATGCATTGCTCTTAAACCAAGATTAGAAGAGAAAAAAAAACGTTTTTGTCCCCTATAACTTCTCAAAATGACAACATTGACTGAGTTGTGTTGTAACTGCAACACAAACATGTAGAGCAGTAAAGACGACACCGGTCAGATCGTCCGCACTGCTCTGAAGGAGACTATGGAAATAAACAGTGGGTTTGGGGACAGGTGCAGACTGGACAAGGTTAGTGCAGAGAAATCTAGATGGCAGCAGTTGTTGTTAAACCCTGGAGAGGCCTGATTCAGTTCCACAAATAAAGCACGCTGCTGCCTCTGTGACATGGGCTGTGTGCCCGAGCCCTCAAAGACCCCGCACCTCACAAGAGAACTAAAGTGGCAGCTGTTTACCTGCCTCTGCTTAGAAAGGGCCAAGGGCTGCTGGATTAACACAAGAATGAGAATAGTCCACTAAAAGAAAGCATATAGTTGTTTTGGATACAAAGATTTCACACATATCTTAAACAAAGTATCAGGTTGAGACTGTTATGCTATTATTGTGATATCAGCCTGAGGTTTTCTTTGCTGTTCACAAAACATGAAAGCAAAGCATCTCTGTTCTGGATATGATGATAAAGGTTGTCTCCGTAGGGATTTTTGTCCGATGGCTTTTTGACCCATCCTTGCAGCACTCTCTCGCCCGAGGACTCGTCTTCAGATGTTGATGCTCAGCTTGGATCATGACTACCGGAGGACCTGACCTATCGCACATGTTTTGAGCAATGGGAAACATGCACCATAAGTAAAATCCTCCAGTGAAGGGACTCCTGACCCAGACACATGCAAACTCCACACAGAAAGGCCCAGGCCGATGCAGGAAGCTGTGAGATGTGTGCACCTTCTACTCTGTCTCATGCTACAATAATGTTATATGTCAATTATATGTTATGTATATCATATTCTTATCACAAGCAACACAGAGAGCTGCACAATATTGGAACAGAATCCCATATGGGATAGTAATGTCAAGGACTGCAATAACAATATTAATTGAAATATGTAATTTAAGGTAAAGGATTGGCCGACGTAAAAAGGAATGCATAATTTTCACATAATAATAATTCAAAATCATTGCATGTTTGCAATGATGACAAACTTGCAGTTACTGCAATAACCAAAATTTTTTGATATATTGTGTTGCCCTATAACACACAGGCCCAAGACCGCAACAAGACAAAAATAAATAAAAATAAAAATAGAAACGTATCAAACTGAATAAACTTTAAAATATCAATGCTTTCTTTAGTGTTGTGAATGTGGGCCGTGGACAGCTCTAAACAGACAATGTCAATAAATGCCATAACCTCCGATAAGACAGGGAGAGGAGGTTTCCACACGGGAACAGTCATCTTTTCTTTTCAGGAGTCACACAAGTGAAGAGTGAATTTCACACAGACAGGATATAGTGTTGCTCCTGGGAAAGTGAAAAGTGAAGTGAACAAGGTACCCACAGAGTACAATATCACTTCATGTTGAAATGGATCAGTGGATGGTCTGACTCCCTAACGGTAAATGGCAGTTAAAATCCACAGGTAGATTAGAAATATAATCCACTTGGATCTTCCATCTCAGATCCAAGTGCATCAGAAAATATGTATTTATTTGAACAAAACAAAACTCAGCACCTGAAACGTTGATGCGTTTATCACAGTGAATTAAATCTCTATTGATTTCACATTAGGCTAAGCAAATTTCCAATTAAATGTGACAAAACAATCTCGAGCTTCCGAGGCAGCACACCAGACCGTCCCATTGTTAGCCGGACATATGTGCACTGCAGGCACCATAAGGAACGTAATCAAATATTCACTCAAGCCTTAATAAATGGAATTCATTTTACTTCAATGCATGTGTTTGTCTACATTGCAATATAATTACAAATAAGTTATAATTACATAATTATAGAAATGCAAAACGATACAAAAAATATATACAGTATTTGATCATTTTGACTATATTGGGATTAGGAAACATAAGCCAAAGTGATAATTATTTGATAATGCTACACTTTTTATATTACAAAGGGACAAACTTTTATATATTTTACAAATTACAAATGTTCACCTTTATGACGTGTTGCCTGCAATTTTCAGTATGTACAAAACAGAATTCTCTACAATTCAGTTTTGTTAATACGTTTTATATACAATAGCTGTATTACACATTTTGCTGCCAATAAATCAGTAAATGCACTTTGAGGCAAGTGTGTTTAAAATTATCAGTGCTAAGTTTTTATAGCTTTTATATGAGGCTTTGTTTAAAATTATCATATCGTCATATCGTGATACATACCAACAAAAATCATGATACATGCTGAGGCCCATATCGCCCAACCCTAATGTGAACCATTCAGAAGTGTTGCAAGTGTTTCCCCCAATACCTGATTTTTTGTATTGGCCTGCTCCATGAACTATTTACCAAACAAATGCTATTAGAGTGTGGCATACAGAGCAGGTGGCATTCACGACAGCTCAATATGTTTCCACTGCAGAGCAAATTATCAAGACTTGTATCAATTAGAAGCAGTCATGTACCTCTGAGTGATGTTAGAGAGGAGCACCAATGTGGCTCGACATGGGATTTAGAAATTAGTTTTCCAAAGATGGATTTATTCAATGACGTGTGTGCCAAAAGCATGGGACGAGAACAAGACAAAAGTTAAAATGTAGGATTATCTAGAACAGGCATTGCCCATTGCGGACCCCTGTGTGATGATATTTGGCCCTCTGCCTCACAAACACAAATGCATTCTCTGAGATCATAAACAGAAGTGCAGTGTCATCCAGCCAACCCCAGCTCTACCAATTTATGCCTGCTGTACATCATTGGAACGCTCAGCATGCATGTATTTTTAGGCAGAACAGAAAAGCTCTCATCCCGAAGCTTCCAATAGTGACTCACAGCAATCTTACCAAAAATTCCCAAAGGATAAAATGTTGAAAATATGTTGTTGTCTTTATTTGTTCACATTATGTTTTACTTTACAGTTCCGCTCAGATTGTTCAAATGAACTTTTTGTTTTTGTTGTAACAAATGAGCACTGAACCTTAAAAAAAGAATACAGCAATGTTATATTTTAATTGCTATATACAACTTGAAAGGAGTAGGCAGATGTAAAAAGGGAATATTTATATTTTCCGTCCCTTCATTACCAGAGTCTTTATGCTGGGCCAAACACATATTAACGAACACAGAAAGTTAGGTATGTAGTGAAAACTAACTAAAGAAGTCAAAACATGCTCATCTCGGATAAACATTAACAGAAATACGTTTAAATATTTGCATTTGTGAGTGAAACTCGAATTTCCATTTGCAATATGTTTGGTACAATTACAGAGGATTATATGTGGCTATCTCAATATTAAATAGAAAAACTTAGATCTTAGATAATAGTCTCTATCCCTCAAACCTTTACCTTTGCGCTGTCCCTGCCTCATACAGTGATCTGGTGGCTTCAGCCTGGGGTCAGCGAACGGTCTGACACGGTTCATTTGCAGTTGGGTATCAGATAACAGACTGCTGGAGGCCGAGCAGCATCCAGCCAGAACCGACACATAAACTCCTGCAGCGCGGAGCTAAGGGTCACCCCACTACACGGCGCTAGTCTCTGGGGTGAGGGATGGGAGCAGATTGCTGGATGGGCTGGTCCTGCTGCGTCCTGCTCAGTGAACCCTGCCTGTGTTGGTGTATGCGGGGGGACAGAGAGACCGGGGGAGGGGGGCTTACCCTTTAGGTGGATCTTATTTTCCGGACTGTGCACTAAAACGGAGCTGACCGAATCCAGACTGTCGTAGTTACTGCAGCCGAGAGGGCCCGTCCTGGTCTCTGTCACCTGAGGGAGAAGAACATTTGGCTTTAGAAATCTGTGAAATGATCTCAGAGATGTTATTGAAGTGTATAATACAGCAACATCTAGTTTCACATTTGAAATAACTTATTTTTTTATTATTATTATCATGATCAAACCTGATTTAATGTACTCAGTGTGTGTTTGTGTGTGTGTGTAGAGGAGAGAGTGCTTTCCTCAGCAAGAGTGAGTGATGGGAGAGATGGCTTGGTTCAGAGAGTGTTTAGGCCTGTGTGTGTTGTGTGTTTGTTTGTGTGAGTGTGTGCGTGTTGGTGTAGTCAGAGAGAGAGAGAAAGCGTGTGTGTGTATATCTTCTCAGAATCATCATGTTACATACAGAACACACAATAAACCTTACTTCTTACTTATATCTTCCTAACTATAACTGCGCACACTCAACAGGAAAAACAATCATCACTAATAAGGGCAAAAAAAGTCAGAAAACCGCCGCGGGGGAAGACAGCACAAATAGGAGGCTGTTGTAGCAGTGGAAAGTAATGAGCTAAAAACTTTTACAACACGCTTTGAGGATCATTGTCTATGTTGTGTATGAATGGGATGAGTTAAAGAACGTTATAAGTTGTGTATATATTCGGCCAATTTTTTATTTATTTTTCTCTGCTTAATCCTTGCTCATACGTTATTTTGGCATCCAGAATTTTGTGATACTTAAAAAAATAGATGGAAATACAACAAGACTAACCAACGTTTGAGATGTCGAGGACAGCCTAAACATAGAGTTAATCTTGGTATCCTGGCAGAGAGAAATATTCACTATTCACACGGTGACTATTTTTTACTCTTAAAACACATATTTAAATTAAGATTACAGTTTAGGGTAAGCACAGTAAATGTTATTGGGGATAATGTAATGAGTTATGCTAGACTCTCCCTGGATGAAATGCCAAGATTTTAGTGAACCCTGCAAATATTTGCGTAACTGGTCCAGTAATGTATAGTAAAAGTAAATGATAAATCTAGTAAAAGTACTGTAAAGTGTAGTCGAGTAACACGTTTAACAGTAACATGAAAAAGAAAAGACTGATGAGCAAAATCTGGTGGTTAAAAATCCCAGCGCAACCGGAATTAGCATAAGAAGAAAGATAGAGCTCGCAGCAAAGACGTCCCGCAACTAAATCACACTATTTTGGCAAATGACCTGGCATTAGGCAGGGTTGTTCATCTCAGCTCCACTCTACCTCGCATAAAAACCAAATTTTTTACCCACTAGAAAAACAGAGAAAATCTACCTGAAAGGCTGGTCAAAGAAACATAAAAACACAGCTCAGAAATATGATGGAAGGTCTGACGCATAATGAAGGATTAACAAGTGAAAAGAATGTTGCATGTCAGAAGAATTGTATTTGGTTTGAGTCATTGAGATCTGCTTTTAACCCAAGTACCAAGGCCCTGTTTACCAAAAACGACCAGACTCCTGCAGAGCGTTTAGATGGCTCCGGAAAACAATGTAGTGCTAGCGTCCGGCCAGTAGTGGGCAGTGGAACTTTGTAACACGACACGCGTGACCCCCAGCAACTCCGTTTCCATGTAAACAGAAGGCCAAACAGATATACAACCATGAATCTATTATAATAACTGGATAGGGTATTGCTAGTTTATAGCTGAAGAACCATGTGCTCGGGGGATTCTCGCGGTACTACAGAATAAATAATACAAAATTCACGTGGGCTACCCAGAAATCTTCCATAGAACTCAATGTAAATTAAAACAGCTCAACCTCAGCTGACAGAGAACCTACAGCTTTTATAAAGGTCGGATTTTGTGGGGATTTTAGTATCCCTTGTCATCCTGAACTTTTTTTTCTTCTTAAATCCTTCGGTTTTCTCTAAATCCACACTTTAGTGCCACAAACCCTGTTCATCTGGCTCTCGCTCTAACTCCCGCTCTGATGAACTGCTCTGATTGGTCAGAGTGCGGCCGAGCCCCTCTGCGCACGTGCATGAAAGCCACACACGCATATTTGGCGCAATGCATCGTGGGAGATAATTTACTGCGCAGAACAGGGAGGACCAGACGACAAGTTTCCCATGGATCTTTGCAAGTTCCAGGTGAGTTCCGCTAATATGTCAGCGACCGTGCCGGCACAAAGCGCCACTGAGCACAACCGTTAATTTGAATACGGCGCCATCTTGGATCGCCGGGGCTTGTATACAACTCTAACGTTTTACAGTTGCAGCGTCTTTGTTTAAACCATAGACTGTAAATATTAACGGACGTAGTCACGCATATCTCTGCCGTTCTAACTAATGTGCCACAACTTCCACGGTCTATGGGCAGTTTCAAAATGGCCGCGGGGGCTGGAAAATGTGAAAAAACGCATCTGCGCATGCGTCAGCCGGCACGAGTCCGATCCATTTAAACGAGTGACTCTAAAAAATCACAGCCACTAAACTAGACTGGTCCAAAAAAAATCACTCCCCTCAGCATTGACACACATGTTAAAAATTAACTGTGTATTATAATCCATGTAACTACTTCCTTACTCTCAAAACAGTTCTACATACATAGACTGTATATAGACATTGGGAGCCCCGAGCTCTATGAAGCCCAATCAGTGGGGTGGTGGGTCCCGGCTCAAAAATGTCCAAAATGAAGTGCACTGACATGCTTGCAATACCACCCCAGGCCGATGGGGGTGCTACTCTATGGCATCTTCTTACCTCTTGGAAGCGTCTTTACAGGATGGTCCAAAAGTTGGTTCTTGGCCCGAAACTACGTTCCAGATGTGTGTCAATGTCAATGTGGAGTATATTTTTTTGGATCAGTCTAGTTTAGTCACTGTGGAATTTTCAAGGCACTCGTTTAAATGAATGGAGCTCGTGCTGGCTAAGACGTGCGCAAATGCGTTTTTTCACATTTTCTAGCCCCTGCTGCCATTTTGAAACTGACCATAGACGGTGAAAGTGGTGGCACATATGCATTACTACGTCCGTTAATATTTACAGTCTATGAGCCCAATAGGGAAGTGGAAGATTTGCTCCAACTCTCAGTCTCCCTACTGACTTACATTCAAAAGTTCAGAAGTTTGCAAACACTACGGGAGACATCAGCGCTCGGGTAGTCCACTCCTAATATGCAGTCAATATGGTTCTAACACTATAGCTTCCATTTGAATGTTTTATTGGCCTCTGTCACATCGAAAGAAACGACTACCCTCACTCAGTATATACAAGATAAAGACAGTATGTTGTGCTCTGATTTTATCACAACATGTTACTTAAACAAGACTCTTTCTGTTGGGAAACAATATGTATTTATGAACAAGGTAATCCAGCTTTATTCTTTTCTTTCCCCTCTAGTGCAGGAGGGAGTTTGGTTTTGTGAAGCCCTTTTCTCTCTTCAGCCTTCAGCAAACAGCAGCTGCCCTGAATGCATCTACTGTACCCTCCCTATCCCTGCTACAATAACTGGAATGAAACTGAAAGCTGTGTCAGATGTGATGTGTTTGTGAGTTAAACTATAGCCTCTCGACAGCTTTGAGTTGATGGAGTTTATAATGATGTGCATAGTCATAGATGAATATTTGTATAATAATCCACCTGAGAGTCACCCACCCACGACTCAGGTTTTGTTTGAAAGTCCCAGGAGCTCTCCAGAGCCGCATTCAGCCCACAACACTTTGTTTGGAATGTTTGTTCAGCAGAGTGCATTATTAAAACAAATGTGAGCTCTGTTTTTAAGTGCAGCTATTAACAGTTATGACGTACATCCATCCATTCGTTGTCTACCCCTCCATCCATTTCTGGGTCGGGGGCGGGTGGCCAGAGATGCTGACAGGTTGACAGTTATTTTGTCCTGGGGCCATAACATGGCATAACATATTTTCTAAATTCTAAGAACAGACTGTAAGGCACTTAAATATTCGACTTATAGCCTATGGATATTTTTCTCTAAAAGCCTGTTTCCAAACTGCAGCTCATTAGCACCATGTGTCCGTGGACTTAGGAGCACTAACTTGTTACTCTTGATATATGTGTATTTGAACTTTTATGTTATTATTAGCACTTATCCTGTTGCATGGTTCCTAATCCATTTTGAAAAACACAGATCTCTGGTCGTTGCATTCAGCAACAAAACAGCGGTTTCGGAGTCGTGCTGTTCCTCTCTCTGCCGCACCTCTCTCTTTCTCGCTCTGCCGCACTTTCACTCTCTCCGTCTCACAGGCCACAGTGCCCAGTTCTGCACATGTGCAGGGTGAGGCCAGGCACACATGCCAACATACGGATGATAAATTACAGTATAATAATTGTCATGTTGGGAATGTGCATTGTGCTCATCCTTCACAAAGTTCAATCCTGAGACCCATGAGATCTCTTGGTCTGGTTGGAACACCTGACAAGCTCATTCTGCAGGTAAGGCACTGTAACTCACTACTTTTTCATGACACATAGACCATTCGACGAGTATGCAGATCTGTTTTAAGCTGTGATGAATGGTGGGTGGGACTTGATATTGCAGAAGTCAGGTGGGAGACAGTTCTAGAGATGGGGGCAGAAGACTTCATGCTCTGGTCCTGATGGTGACGACAGTGAAGGGACAGAGTTGAAGAGCGTAGGCTGGGTGGAGGGATTGATAGTGGGTGGTGATCTGGAGAAGGTCTGAGAGAAAATTTGAGGCCAGGACTTGGATGGACTTATATGTGGGCAGAAGGTTCTTGAACCGAATGCCGTGTTAAATATACTATACTTTCATCTGACGTCCATCATCCTTATTTGCAGATCTATCCGTCTCCATGAACAAAAACTTTCTACTGCAAAGTGCACTCGGCCTCTCCTAACAGCAGCCCATTTCAGACTCAAGTGAAAAGTCTTCCGCTTTAGTCCTGGGTGCTCCGAGTGCACACGATAATGCGCCTCTCTCCGTCTCTCCTCCTCCTCAGCGCGGGGCCCACGGGCATTACGCGGACACAGGTCAAGCACATCCCACTCAGTGTCGCTGGCTCTCGTGTTGATCTGGCAGAGCAGCGCGGCAGGTGGCTCGAACGCTGAGATCCTCATTTAGCAGAAAAACATGTAAACGATGCACACTCTCTCTCTCTCTCTCTCTCTCTCTCTCTCTCTTTCTCTAAGTGCCAGTCTGTGTCTCACTAACAGTTAGACGTGTGTGTGCGACTGTGGAGGTGGTGAAAAATCTCACTTTTCAGCTGTGAAGGATTATTTACCGTAGACCTGCCTGTCAGTCGTTCACAGAGTAGAGGATGAATTATTAAAATCACCATGGAGACAAACAAGATTTGTTTTTTGAAGGTATCAAAGCATTAAACACCCACAGAGCCTCAGATATGCATAAGCAACTGAATATGGATTTGTGTATGGTTTTATTTCCACTTACATAATATATCATTGGGTTTCGATTGTGTTGAGTGTTGTGTAAAAAGTTAAGTTTGGAAAAGGCACATTTGTGGAATGCACAAATACGGAATACTGCGCCTACCCACTCAGTCATGGTTCTGCAGTATAATGAGAGTTACTGTGAAACTTCTGATGCTTGAATGACTCATTACTTTCTCCTGCTCAACTTTTTTCCTGTTAGCATGCAGAGGATCATGCATTCTCGATTCGATGCAATTCAAAACAGTTGGAGGGAAGATTCCAATACCACTCTATAGGAAAAAAGGATTATTTAAAAGAAAATATTTATTTTTTAAAGTCCAAATGTTATGTGATTAGTTTAAAAAAGTAATTTTTGTATGTCTGAAAGTCCATCCTACTGGCCAACCTCATGCAGATTGTTTTTATTTTAAATAATGACCCTGGCATTTCTAACCAACTTTGACCATGCTGACAACAAAGATGTGGAACTTAATCATCAAAATCAGTCTTTGCTTTATGTGGATTAGTTTGGTCCAGAAACCACAGAGCAATGAGTTCAAAGGAGTTGACAATCAGAACTACCAGAATTAACCCTTTTGTTTCAGCTGCTCCCAAACAATGTTGAACATAGGCCAGGGTTTCAAAATGGACCTCAAAGGCACTTCACACATTTCCTCAAGTGAGTCCAGTCTTGACCTGAAGACTGGGTGGAGTCTAGTGTGCATCCGCTTGATGGAAACTAAAATCTGCAGCCACATTGGCCCTATCTGTAACAAACTGGTTCCAGACCCCTGATGTAGGCTCTTTGGAATAGAACTATATTCATGTTTGATACCGGCATACGGACGCACAATCAAATATACAGTTGATTTTGTTGTAATACACTATATGGGCTGATGTGCAAAGTAAGTGGACTCGTGCGGGACTCACCTTGATGGCGGACGTAGCGATCTGAAGGTGGTGCAGTCGCCTTAGGGTGCTCTCTCGGTCAGTGAAGTAGGAGGCGGCGAGCTGGTGGAGCAGCTCCAGAGAGACCACTGAGCTGTTACTGCTGCCCTCCGACTTCTTATTGAGTTTCTGTTTGTCCAGGAAAATGGTGAGCGACTCCTCCCCTGTGGGTAAGGCATTGCTTCAGTCAATTGCCTACTGTAAAAATACTCATACACTAAGTGTCACAAAAAAACTGCATTGAATAAAAACACAAGCAGTAAGCAAGTCCTCTTTATAGTTTATATACACACCAAAAACACTTGATATTTAAAAGATAAATGGAATTTTTTACATTGGAACGTTCCTGGCAATGAAACCAAGAACATATAGTAATAATTCATTTCTGTTTATACTTGTATGTTTGTTTCAATGGGAAATGCTTTGTGACCTGGTCTGCTATATATATATATATATATATATATATATATATATATATATATATATATATATATATATATATATATACTTATTTAGCCCCTTAATAATCTCTTTCTTCTGCTGCTGCTGCTTCTGCTGGACTTGAGCACTGCTTTGTAAATATGGATAATCCTTTTCCTGCTTTGTTTTCATTAACGTTTTTAAAGGCCCGCATTCAAATAATTCAAGCTATGTTTTATGCATTATTGAACTGTAGTTTGGAGTTTACAAAATATAATCTGTGGTGTTTTGAATGACTGAGGAAGCAGAATCCCACCTACACCTCCATCAACAACAACAACATTTTCGCTTCTGGAGCCAATTCAAAGGATTCAAATGTAAACATATTGTAACTACACATTCATTTACACACATACAGGTGTTCCACAAACAGCTCACAGCAAAACGCATTTGAAGGACCACACAATAATGAATATTCTTGAGACTCTTGCAAAATGCTTTCAATATGCGTCTGATATCTACAAAAACTTTCACAGAGACAACAGGAAACGCCTGGAGCCCAGTCATGCGCTGTCTTACACTAATTATCTCCATGACGACGTGTGGGCATGTGTTGTCGCCGCTGCACATGTGTGAGTGAGGGAGCCTCCATTGACACCTAACCCTAACCTAACCTTGCTTCTCCCTGAATCAGGATTTCAGGCAAAAAAAACCAGGACGATGTTGTGCGTTAGTATGAAAGCTGTCGGTGTGTTGTGTTAGTACGAAAGCTGTTGGTGTGTTGTGTGTTAGTATGCACACTGGAGCTGTTTCTGAGAGTTAATTACACTCTCCCTCTGCATCCATCCACTGCCGCTCCCACACAACACTGCAGACGCCGATGCTCCACTGAATCCTGCTGTAAGTGGCTCCGGAGGCAACGCATTTTACGTTTTCATGTTTATCATACAGGAGCCGTTAGACAATTGTATGTGTTAAGTGTTTCTTGCTTCATGATCCCAGCTCATGTGTTTTTCATGATGCTGCAGCAAAAAAACTGATGTTATAAGTCTTGGCTGTCAAAGCTGCACACTTCTTTATTATGCTGAAGTCAGAGTTTTTGTACTCATTATGATAAAGATAGAGATTTTATACTTGTTTCTTTTTGATGCTAGACTTAGAGATTGTATTGTATTTTATTTTGTATAGAGTTATTGTTCATTTGTGATGTGTGCTCTTCATTCCTACTGTTCCAACTGTGAACATTTCCCCACAAAGGATCTTGAAGATGTGATTTTTGCCTATTATGATGCTGGACATACTATGTTATCCATACAAGCAGGTGGGACCAGGATAAGTTATAGCAAAATGACTCATCACTAGATTAAAATACCTTCCACACTTCACACTTCTGTCACTTTATAACCTCAAAATGTGTGAGTGTTCATATGTTACAATTTTATTAAGATGTTTTATGCATACCATATATGTATATTCTTTAATTTGATATCATTTGTTTGCATCATATGCAAATTCCTAGTTTGTGACTTCCTGTTCCAGTACAAATAATTCTGATTCTGAAGAATTTAGCGGTAATACAAATTCTTATCTTATTGTAGGTGCAATGTATGGCTGCAGCAAACAGTTATTTATATAATTGAGTATTCTATCGGGGACACCCTCGAAACAGAAATGATCCATCTCAAGGAGCAATCCATAATGAATAAATAAAAATAAAAAAATGAATAAATATTGATTATTAGTTTTGATTAATCGAGTCACCTTTTAATTCTTTTACATCATTAAATGCACAATAGATAAATCATTTAGGAAAAGTATGATTCATAGTCATAATAATTGACAGTAAAAGTATTATAAACCCATTACTATTACCCAAGGGCTGTTTCAAACCAGTTTAAAATAGACGTAACCCAGCTGGGGCAGATTATTTGTGGTACTGACATATCAAAAGAAAAGTTGGTGTATGTGTGTGTTTACATGTGTGTGTGTGTGTGTGTGTGTGTGTTTACATGTGTGTGTGTGCCAATGCCAATGGCTTCATCCAACATTCTTCATAACCATGCTTAACCAAAATCAATAAAAGCTCTTTTTGAAGCTGGGGTGGTTTTGTAATGGGCTTCTGAGGTTGTATTCATAACAGCGGGTCACTTTGAGCACGAGGAGCGGGTCTACATGCAGGCGTGCATCTGCCTGCTGCAATCAATAGAGCAAGTGAATCGGTTTGGTAAGCCGCTTCTCCTCTGTGCGACACATTCCAAATAAAAAGCCAATAAAGAGAGACATATGTTAAGAAATAGGTCAATTTAATCTGGTTGCTTGTTTGGAGGGCTCTCACAGTTTGCGAGAAACATTCAGTGCAGGGGGCGAGGGTGGAATATCCTTCAGAAACAGCACCAGCTCAGAGTGCCAGGTGCAGCGTGAAGGAAATACATAAATAGTTGTTTTGACTACATTTGTCATCCATGATGTTATTTATGTGTATGGGTTTATGGATATGCATGCGACCTTAATTCCAACAGGGAAATAAGAAATGAAATGTCAATTCACTGCATTTTTTTTTCTGATCGAGTATTCCATCAAATATTTAAAAGGTGAGATATCTGATGAGTAAATATTGAAATCTATTTTGAGTCTTTTTTTCTCTCGCAAACACTTGAACATAAAAAACCTGCACATATATATTTTTGCTATTAACAACAAAGGCAAAGTAAGGGAATCTGCTCTCAGTCCAAACTGAAACTGAATCTGTTTAGCATGTTTACATGATGTTATCTGTAAGGGACATTATCATTTCAAAACTTCCCCAAAAAGTAAAATTGGTATCCCATTGTTAAGTATTTGAGTTGCCTTGTGTATGATTTGTGCTATACAAATTAACTTGCCTTGCCTTAAGTCTATCAATTATTTCGAGTTTGTTTTTATTTCAGAGTTTGTTTTTAAGAATTGCTTTCCTGTCCACTCCTTTGAACTGTAATGGGGGACACTTTCTGCTTTGTATGTTCCACCACCTGCTGTGCTGTTCCCAATGGTCTCCCATCACAGCACCAATCAGGCCTTGCCCTATTTAGCAGCTGATATCTGACGGGATCAGGCCCTCACATGCAGGTGATGGTACACTTCTACTATCACTGCATTTCGGGTAAAGTGGGAAGTCCATCCATTTAATTGAAAATAGAGAAAACATTGACAGACAAAAATAATCTTGAAGAACCTGTTGATTATGTCCTGTCTGGAAGCACTTACCTCCCAGAGTGGCGGAGATGAGGAAGTGGGTGCCATACTTCTTGATGAGGTTGTCGTTGATTTGCTGCAGTGTCGGCCGTCGCCCCAGCAACCGCAGGTTTCTAAGGAACTCAGGAGCTAAAGGCAGCGGAGAGTGGAGGAAGTCCCTCTTCTCTGTCGCCAAACTGTTCACCTTCCAGTGGCTGAACTCCCTGACGACAAAAACACAATCACAACTTTAAAAGCTGTTTGTTTGTCCATGTGATACAGTACAATTTATTTCACCAACAACAATTATGGTGTAAAAGCAGCTTGTGGCATGATAAAGAGATGGTTGCATATTAGAGCTGTGACAAAAATGTAAAGAAAGCAATCTGGACTAAATCAAAATTATCCAAAATTATCAAAATTATCAAAATTATCAAATGGAAAGACACCAATCATGTGATTCAGGAAAAAGCCAGCATATGTTTTTACTTCACTCACTCTGTGTTCTTGCTTCTCTGTGCAAAACCCAATAGTGCCACCCACTTCCTGGTTCACTCACTAACCCTAACCCTAACCCTTAGCACGGATACTTCCTGTTTTGCACTTGTTTGCTGGTTCCCAAAAGCGCTTTACTATGTTCAGAGTTCAGATATCGTTTTATTCTCTCCACACACGGTGATGATGGAAGCGAGACGCTGAACACACTGGCGCATCAAAGCCTCTGACCAAACACCCTCCATTCACTCAATCATTATATTCATACCTCTTTGTGCATGTTTTTAGTGGTAGGGGAAACCGGAGCACCCGGAGGAAACCTACGCAGACACGGGGAGAACATGCAAACTCTTTTGGAGTACTGATATTGTCAAATCGCTCCACACAATCTGATGACTGGCTTGAATAATATTCGTTATTATTATTAGTTAAATTAGTTTGGGGCTGCAAATATTGTTTTATTTTTGAATTTCTAATGCATTTAAATGGAAATCGAGATTGGTCAATATGGAATAAAAAATCTTGAGTATTGTTGTTTCTCCCCATCTCGAGGCTCTACTACATATATTCCTTTTACAGGCTTTTCTGCATAAAACCTTGTCAATGTGTTTTGTACTGTGCTGATACATTGTGCTTTGGCTGAAGTTGTGAAAAAGTAGAAAGAAAAAAGAAAACAGTATAAATGTGTTTTTCAATCAATACCAGACTTCACAGTCCACCCCAACAATGACCTCTCCCTCTCATGTTAAATCAATGGCTATTTACATAAACAGTTTGACAAAGCTACAAAGTATAGACACATAATGGAACTCATTTAGAACCCTGGGATGCACCATCTGTGATTTTGCTTCTTGTCTGTACACACTGGTAACAAATCACTCCAAAACAGATGCTTTTACTTGGAAAAGTTTCAAACATACATTTCCCTTACAGATTGTGTTACAACAACAAAGCAGGATAAGAAAAAAAAAACACACACAATAAATAAAGTATCCACGATCCGTTTCAGCACCTTTTGCAAGTAAAGTGGAAATTAAAGTTTACCTACATCAAAGTTTCTCATAAACTGTACTCCGGCACTTTTAAAAGCAACTTCATTTGCAACGCTGGGGTCACACACTGGACGACGGCCAGTATTCTCTGTGGGGGTTGGTTCATATTCATTTTAATGATGTTGTGATTAATAATTGATGTCAGAAGGTGCTTGTGGGAAGTGTAATTAAGGCACACAGAACTAGGTTTGACCACACAGGGCTTCCATAGACACGCTGGTGATTTTGGACTGTTCTCAGACGCCAATTAGGGTCTTTTTGAATATAGGAAACAAGCCAATAACTGTGAATCAAAAGACACTGAAGGATAGAGATGTATAACGACAAAGGCCAGAGTCTAACTGTTGGTATCCATAAGAGCAGCAATAACATCTTGATTATATTGTGTTATCTTTGCTGTGATTATTAACGATTTTACTGTCTTGTGTGATCTTTTTTTTTGTTTTTTCTGCACTTGGTTGGGTTACATGTGTATGCATTGAACAGAGCTTTGGGCCAAGAGCCAACTTTTGGACCGTCCTGTCCATCTCCAAATGATGCTTGGCTTGGTCAGTACCAGGATTTTGCCTATTTTGGTAGGGGAATCCGGCGCACATGCAGAACCCACACAGACACGGGGAGAAAATGCAACCTCCACTCATAAAGACGCTGTTCTGTTCAGGATTCGAACCCAGAACCTTCTTGCTGAGAAGCGAGAGTTCTGACAATTGCTGCCCTCTATTAAGACCCTGACTTCATCTTGTTAGAATGTTATCTTCTGCAAAAAGCCTTGTGAGTCACTGCTTGACTATGGGCAGGGAGCTGATTGGCTGAGCATGAGTGGTCCACTTTTTTCAGTGTTCTGTTTGAAAAATATGATTTAAAGTGTGACAGAAGCAGAAATGCAGATGCAAAGTGATGGAGTTATGAGAGTAAGTTGTATGTTGCTTGTCACTTTTCTTGTTGTGTTTGTTCTAATGTCTCTGACATAAAGACACAATAAATAAAAAAGGTTCTATTAGAGGTTATTTGTTTGAAAGTTAGGTACCCCAGCTTTAAACTGTTATTCTACATAGATTCATAGCATTAAATATTTCAAGCTTGTATTTATTCTTATATTCTATCTGCATTTCTTTTCAGTACAGTACTCTCTTTTCACTTTGTGCTATCATCATTCTCTACAGAAGCAATGTTTGTTGCTTCTGTAGAGAATAAAAACTAAAAACTCAAAAAAAACAATGACCCTCAACGATTTACACAGGTCCATGTTTCCTGGAGGCCATAATTAGTGGTTAGGTGCTGGGTTGCGTGTTTCCTACAGCTCAGATTTGTAACGTTTAGCAGAAATCAGGGAAAAGCCTCTAAAAGACAGGAGGCCCCTGAGTGTCTGTACCATAGTGCGGTGGAGCTTCATTAGGAGTCCATTCTCACATAACCCACCAATTAGGTCCTGCAGACGGACACACTCAGTAGACTATCATCAGTTTACCACAGTGATCTCTCGGGCCATGAGGAAATGTACAGCAGCAGGTCAGATTCACTTTAACTGGACAAATTCTGGTTAATTTTACATAAACCAAAATGCTTTATTTGTGGATGTAAAACCACCAAACAAGTGAACATGTGTCCACTAGTCACTTAAAGGAGATAATATGCAAAAGCAACTTATTCAGTTCCCTGACTTGTTGCTTGAATCAAAGAGACAAAGCTTTTTCGAAAGACTTGGGAACTTTTGTATGCATGCCGGCCTGGGGATATCCGCTATTGTTAAATGGTCATTTGCATTTTGAAGTGAAAAATAAAAATGTTCATATGGGCCAATGTTTTTTGATTTTTCATTATGTGATTTACTTTTAATTATTCTGTGTATTGTCTTTTTGTTCATGTGTGCGTTTGTGTAAAACATAAAAATGGCAATAAAAACATAAGTAAATGACAAAGAATTGAGCTGTCAATCAATGTTCTAACATAATTCCCACATGTTAAAACAGACCCAGAATTTTTTGTTGTTGTCCCAACCACATCGTAACCATCTGGAACAAACATGAGACTGCCCCTTCAATCTAAAAGTCTCAGTCCTGTGATAGTAAAATGTAATCACATGTGGTCACATGGCAGTGCTTGCCATAAGGTAATTTGAAAATGTATAAAAAATAAAATAAAATTAAAAAAAACTTGTCCCTCTGGTGGTGGCAAAGGGAGTTACTGGAAGAATCATTTTTTACCCAATATACTTGTTTCACCATGTATTGTATTTTCTACTTAGTATTTCACATACTGAAACGTGAAATGTGAAAGCATATAGCCTTATTATTTTGATGTCCACAATTATGATTTTTTTTATTTAAATTAACCAGTCCAGTTATAGCAGATAACACCGGCGAAGCAAAATGGTAGACAATCTGTGTAGTACGACATCAGAAAACATTATCATCAATCCATCAATCAATTTTCATCTATCTATAAACCTGTGTTTTATTGACCTCAAACCAAGGACCTTTTCATACACCAGTCAAGTACAATGCAAGGAACTGTTTTTCAATGTAGAGAATTGTCTATTAAGCATCAAAACGAACACATTCTGCTTACAACGCAATAAAACTTTGGGAGCCTATGGAGCCCCATGTATTTTGGATGAACTGTCTTCCAGCGAACAACAGAAAAATGCACACATTGTCAGGTTTCATTATATCTTATTAAATCAAAGCCAAACACAAAACAATCCTTTCATCTAAGCTTTCTGCAAGATTTTTTTTTTACCTGTCTCAGCACATTTTCATTTCAGCAATCCATTCATCAGAGAGCCCAAACCAATTTTCTGTCGATTTAAAGACGCATTTGTCAGTGTGCTCAATGTGGACTTTCATAAATCACAAATCTCTCTATAAGTCTGCAAATATCAACTCATTTCATAAAATGTAAGAATGTAAGAATGTACTCGTCGGATATGTGGATAAAAAAAAAGTTTACAAAAAAGGATAAAAACTACTCTACTATTAAAAGACTAGTAGTAGTACTAGCCTATTAAAGCTGAGTGACCTAATTTTCAAACAACTACATCAATACATCAACTGTATGTAATAAAATCCATCCCAAAGGTTGTCCCTCTCAAAACAGATTAGGTTTTTTATCACTAGTTTTCACACGTTCTGACTGTATGTATTTTTTGTTATGTATTGGGGCTACAGTGGTTCAGTTGGTTGAGCATTGGCCTTCAGGTCTAATGGTCCCCCCACAAGCCCTACTCCATCTACTCCCATTGCATCCTCCGCAGAAAGACCAAGGCTGTCATTGCTGATGGAGCCAGAAATTGATTAATAAAGGGATGTCAAAGAATGAATGAAATAATCAATAAATATTGATATGTTTATTTTCCATGTTAGATCTTGTTTGTTTATATGTTTTTAATGTCTCAAGTTTTATTTGAAGGAAAACTGACTTGCAGGGGCCCAGATAGAGAATATAGAATCCTGACCTGAATGCTAGGGTACTGCACTTTGAAACCACAAAACAATAACAGTTCCTACTCTCAAAACAGTTTTCTTCTATCAGTAGTTTTCACATGCATCTGTTTTAGCCTCTTTCACATCTTTAGTACCACTTTCTCAGACAGAAAAGAGAAAGAGAGGACCACCCACACTCTCTCAATAGTGTCTCACAGGACTCTTTCTTTCTCCGATCCATAATATAGCATGTTTTCTACTACTACAACATGTTATGGTCTGATCTGTTCACAACATATCACTTCTACTGTTGACTGTTGGGATAAACATGTATTTTTAATGAGGAAAAAATGGTACTGCAGCTTAAACTAAAAACAACTCCTTTTAAGGATGAGCTGCCACATCTTTTAGTGAGAATAAATGAGCAGAGGGCGTTGGTCTGAAACAGTGCATATTGTAATTAGGACTACAGTCACATGACAAATCTCCCCTAAGTAAAGGCCATTCTCGACTGAGTGCCTGTAACCAAACAATTAGTCTGGCTCTATCACACGCATCGGCAGACATTAGTTTTAGCTCGGCGTTTAGACGAAGCCGCTCGGAGGGACCGCAGCCAGGAGCCCCGCACTGATTACCCCATCCTGATTTAGACTGATGTGTTTGGGGAGCTTTGGTACAGTGGCTGAGCAGGAGGGGGAGACGGGGGGAGACAACGACAGTATTATGAAATAGACACGAAAACTTTATGCCTCATCTGACCCGTGTCGTTGAGAACCCAAAACAGCCCCCCTACAGGTGAAACTCAGAACATTTTGATATTGTCTATTTACTAATTCAACACAGAACGTGGAACTAATAAGAGAAATGCACGCAGAGTGAAATATACCAAGCCTTTGTTTGGGATAATGTTGATAATTATGGCTCACAGCAGAATTACAACCCAAAATAAAAATTTAAATAATGGGAATATATTTAAAATGCAAAGTGAGCCATAATCATCATAATCATAAAATCACAACAAACAAAGAATTGGTAAATATCCCTTTGCGTGTATTGAGTCTATATCTTGGTTTCATATTTTTAAGTTTAATTACAGAAATAACGGATACAGATATTTTGGGTGTCAAAGTAAAACGTCGGGAAAATAAGAAGTAAAGTAATGAATTAGAAAATACTTTCGCAGAGTTTAATACAGAGTTACTTTTCAAACTGTGTATAGCAGTTTATAGCAGTATTTTGTACATAAGTTTGAAATAAATGATTACTGTTATAACTTTCCATCTCTCCAGGCCATTACCTGCCGTGCTTGTCCTGTAAATATGCCTTTGCAGCTGATAAACACAAAGTTATTTCACCATATCAATTCTAATACCAGGACCAAGCATCGTATATAAATAAATACCCCGTCTTGAGCCGAAGCCACTTGTCCCTCTCCGATTATCCGCTCTGATGTAGACTGATGTGTTTGGGGAGTCGCTGAGCACAAGGCTGACCAGAGAAGGCCCAGAGAGAAAGGCATGCTGGTCACCTCTGCTGCCCTGCATTTTAAGGGTTAAGACTAGAGCCTGACTATTTGGCTAATGATGATCGATGGTGTTAATTAAAAGGTTTAGCACAGCACTGATTGCACCTGCAGCTTTGGCACATACTCCAGCTGAAGCAAAAAGAACCTTGGACGCACAAAATGCCGATGTAGAAAATTACACTGAACGTGGTTGTTGGCAACATCTTAGACAATAACACCTGGATGGTATTGGCTGCCAGCTTTAAATTGCCTCCTTAGTTGTGGCACCTTCTAAGAACACAACATTCAAACTTTTTTAATATCTGTTTTGGTGCATTTATAACCATGTAGTATATGATTTTGTCCCCCAGACATGCAGTAGTCTAGAAGAGGAATTAAGATGTATTAACACTGGACCTCCCAGACACGTCAAATTGGCTTTTAGTCTTTTAGTCTTGGAAGCATAATGTACATTTGTGGTCTTCATAACTTTGTGACGTTTTCTGTATCTATATGTAATTTGTTTCTATGTCATTACCATTGTTGAAAATATCAAGTTTTTGAAATGTCAGAAGTTTTACCTTTACCTCTTAATTCTTTCTTTTAGTAACCAATTTTCTAGTCCAATTTGCAGGTCCTGGACTGATTCTGGACTGGTCAGTTTGGTTTCCGCCTGAAGAGCCAGGATACGTTCCCATAGCAGAGGTATCAGTTAGCATTTTTTTGCCTCTCAACAAACTGTCTTTGCTGTAGTTCAGTTATACTACAGCAAAATATGTAAAAAATTTTCTGAATTTTATGGATTCAGAAAACAACAATCAACTGTAAAATCAACTCTGAATGTGACAGGGGTAATGTGCTCTCTCTGAGGTGTCCCTGTGGCAAGCAAGCAGCAGAATTCTGGACCTGCTGAAGGCACTTATCTGAGCCTGTTAGTCAAGACAAAATATGTTTACTCCTTTGAGGTTAATTTGATTCTGGAGGAAAATACAGAGGTCTACTGAGTGAAATACTATAAATGATAGTTAAAAGATGCTGGCAAACTTCCTGCTGGTTGAGTTTGTTTGAGTTCACACAGCTCTCTGCAGGGGGCAGCTCTTTGACTGACTTTGACTCGCCGTGATGAGGTTTATTGAAAGTGAAACTTTATAATGAGCACCTCCACCTGAATCAGGTGGAGTCTCACCCATTAATAAGAGCTGACCCAAATCTTCTCAAAGCTATTTCAGGCACAGCCGAGGGTCTGTGCTTCAGAGGCCACAGCAATCTGCCATGGAAATGAGTCTATCCACGGAGAGGCCGTGTGCTTACCGCCCATTGCATCAATCACACCAACTCCCTCTGTAACATGGACACAGTTTGAGGCTTATTTGGATGACATTTTAGTGTATGAAGATATTATTAAACATTGTATGTATTGCAAATAATGCTATACCTCAGTTTTTCAATGCGTACAATCATAGTTTTACTGAAGCACTCTGGCATTAGAGCATTAGAGATGCATTTAGCAAGTGACTCCCTGACACTCATACCAATAAATAGACAATATGCTTGTCTGTCAATCAAATGATACATCGCTAAGCAACTACTGTCCTTTGTATGTTTAGTGAATCTGCTTCACTCCTCCAGAACAAACCACTGGACTGTGTGTCTCTCTCCTACTGTGACTGTTTAATCCAGGCCAGTCATTTCATATACCTTTTTTTTCCAGATTTTGCATTTGCTGCGGACGGTTCTTTCATAGAGCACCAAGCTGCACTTTGTAAATACAATGAAAAGAAGGATGAGTTTGACTTTATTATGCAGATACAGTTATTATAGACACATTGGAAGTGACATAATCAGCCAAACAAAAATATGATTTAAAAAACGAAGTCATGAATTAAATTCAAATCACAAAGATAATATACAAAAAATACTATTTTTACAAATACAACTCCCTTGCAATTACTTGGTCCACTCAAATAATGGGCTATCTACTGTATCTTTTATAAGGCACTTTTTGGCACAAGGTTATTCCTATTCCAACATTATAAATACATGAATGTCTGCTCATTTAAATTGCAGACAGACGGCCAAGACGTGTCTCTAGTTCTTTTGGGTCAACAGGTCTATTGTTTGTCCTGAGGATCAGTGTTCATTAAAACTCACACATGGCTTCTGGGGCAGCACTGAAAATAGACCCTCTCCACCTGAGCTGCAAGATCCAAACCAATGCAGAACTTTTAATGATTGGTAAGTTTCTTCCCCCAAAGTCATTATGCATCTGCAGATGGGAACATTTCTGTAAGAACAATAATGGTGGCAAATTGGAGCGGTCAAATCAAGAGAGAAAAGGAAGCGTTATGGCTAAATACATCCACATTCCTTCCACCCACTCCTGCGCTTCAGGGAGAAAATTGTGCAGAAGTTTCATCAGCAGTCATCCTGAAATAGAAGAGAACTGGAAGAATTGTAAAGTTCGCACTGTTTAAGGGCGCATTCACACTGGTCCTAAACTGGATCTAGTCTGGTTCACAAGGGGAAAAGGTTATTCCTACTCGCCGTGGCATCATTTTGGTTGTTCACAGATCTCTTTCAAAATATATAGTTGGTTAGATTGAAATAAAATATATAATATAAACTGATGTATGTGAAGCATGTTTACTTGTTTTCTGGTTTTAAATCTTCAAATACAGATATTTTTGTCCCAAGTGAACAAGAATTGTCCAATTTCCTCTTACTGTTCTAAAAGTGACTACTTGGATAAAATTGGACTATTACTGTTTAAAAATGGATCAATACTCGATGAATGAAGGATTACACCACTTTGAGAAGAGAGGAACCGATGAGATTACAAATACATTTATTCCATTAGGACTGGCGATTAGAACCCGGCAGGAATACTGCATGGCGTATGCAGAATGGAGTTTAATAGAAATTATGAGCTTGCAGATGCAACACCCCAGAGCCTAGAACCTGGTGGCGAAGAAGCTGAGCCGAAGACATGAGATGATACTCCACTGAGGAGTTGGTTATGAGGAGGAGGTGGGTTGGTGCTCGAACAGCAGCTTGAGCTGCAGATAACTGAGAGGTTTTGGTTAAATGCAGCCGTGAAGTGATGATGAGCGTCAAGTGATGAAGTGTTACTGAGCAGCTGAGGGAGGAGTCAGTGTGGCAGCAAGACGTCTCTATGGTCTTCCAGTCTGAATTTGCGCTTAGGCTTCATTATGAATTATATATTTTGGGAACATATTAATAGACTTGGAGATTCTTATCCATGCATTTGTCTCCAGTAGGTTAGACTACTGCAATGGCCTGCTCACAGGTCTCTCCAAACAGGCTGTAAAACAGCTGCAGTACATTCAAAATGCAGCAGCTCGAGTCCTGACTAGAACCAGGAAGTACGACCACATTAGTCCAGTTCTCAGGTCTCTGCACTGGCTTCCTGTGGCTCAGAGAATAGACTTTAAAACAGCTCTGCTTGTGTACAAGTCTCTCCATGGCCTCGCACCAAAATATATTGAATGACTTTGGATACTTCCTGCTTTTGAAAAGAGCAGTCGTGTGTCTCTCTGCTCTGCTTTTGCTTCGCCTTTTAATCTCCTTGAATCATTTTATTTACATTTTTTTTGTTTCTCCTTTAATCATTTTATTTACAAAACGAGGATTACTCCTTCTACACACTTCAGCTTTGTGGAATTTATCAACTTTAGTCATGTCGGGACGAAAGAGACGGAGAAGCGTCTGCGGCGGCTGTTGTGCTCTGGAAAATCAGCTCAAATCTCTTCAAACACGGATATCTATTGTGGAAACAGAAATGGGACTTAACCCGACTCTTCCAATGAGTGAAAATGGGATGAATGGACAGACTGGAAATGTAAGTTATGACGTCATTTCTTTTCCCAAAATCAACAATGAGAATTATTGGAACAATTGTGGAGCTAAACCCAAAGTTGACAAAGCTAAGAATGACAATAGGAGGGAAATAAGGCCACAACTAAATGTTCTGAAGACTTCAAACCGCTTTTTACCCCTTTCTGAAACAACAAAGCCGCTAACAACTGCAGCGCCTCCACCAAGGACAAACTGTGTCCTTATCGGAGATGGTTCGGTGAAAAATGTAAACATGGAGTCCATGCTCACTGTCTCAGTTCACTCTGCAAAAGTTGCTGAGATAAGAACTCTTCTGCCTAAAGTGTTATCTGAGAACAGTGGTGTGCGTACATTATTGATCCACACGGGGGCGGTAGATATCTATGAGAAGGCAAGCGAGAAGTTACGAATGGATTTAACGCTGTTACTGGATGACCTCAAGAAAATGGACATAACAATTTTTCTTAGTGGCCCACTTCCAAATATAGATGGAAAAATTGAGAAGTTTAGCCGTCTGTATCAGCTAAATACATTCCTACTCAATGAGTGTTCACGCAGAGGACTTGGCTTCATTGAAAACTTTAACCTGTTCTGGAATAGGCACGAGCTTTTTGAAGAAAAAGGCCCACATCTGAACAACTACGGAGTAAAAGTGTTGATGGATAACTTTGCATCTGCCCTAAGACCTCAGCCTGCGCAGCGCGTGCAGCCGTCGAAAGGGAGAAAGAAGAAGCAAAGGGCACAGACATCACGACCATCTCCACCGACTCCCGAGGTCTCTGCACCCCCACCGCCTCAAAAGAACTCCACACCTCCACGATTCAAGAAGAACTCAACACCTCCAAGGTTCCAAAAGAACTCAACACCTCCACGGCTCCGAAAGAGCTCAACGCCTCCACCCCCAGCATCATCAGCAGCTGCCACATCTTCATCAGCGCCATCAGCATATACAGCACCACCAGCAGCAGTGGATACAGCCGCAGCAGTGGCTGCTCCATCATCTTCAGCAGCAGCAGTGGCTGCTCCATCATCTTCAGTAGCAGCAGTGGATACAGCAGCAGCAGTGGCTGCTCCATCATCTTCAGCAGCACCTTCCCCACCTACAGCTCCCGTGAAGCTTCCCCCATTGCTCCAGGCTACAGTCAGGCCTGTACTGGGGGTTCCTCAACCACCTCTGTCTCCACC